TTATAAAAAGTAATAAAGTTTTTCTTACCATATTCAAGCTGGCAGTGATCCGAACGAATGTGTGCATCAAGAATTGAAGAATATGTAAAACAAATATTTAAAAATAGCATAATAAATATCACTGTCATCAAAGAAGAGCAACAATTGCTTAAAGAATACCCACTACTACATGCTGTAAATCGTGCTGCGAGCACCGTAGAGCCGAAATCAGGCGTAATAAATTATTTTTATATCATAATGTATGAAGTCAAAGTACTTTTGATTTGATTTCTGTAGATGCCGCTTAATTGTTTATTGAAATCAATATCGATCGATAGGAAAAAAATATCATATATGTATGATCATACATAATATAATATATGATATTCTTTCCTATCGAACGATATTGATTTCATAAACAATTAAGCGGCATCTACAGAAATCAAATCAAAAGTACTTTGACTTTATCTAATATACAAAATATTGTAAACCTTGCAATTTGCAGGTACAAGTGCCATCAACGAAACAGAAGCATGGGCGTTTATAGCAGATGCAATAAAAATATTGGGAAAGTGTGTTTAAAAGATAAATATGTATGCCAAAAAGTGTTCAGAATAAAAAAAAATTGCTTGTTTGACGATTGAGTCAAATGACTCAATCAGGCAAAATAGATATCAATATCAACCAAGCCCCATCATTCTAGTGTTAAAAAATGATTTCAGTATTACCACGTAGACAAATGTTCAAATTATCACTTAATTCATGTTTCTACCAGCTAACTGGTAAATTAACAAAATTATGACTGATCAAAAAAATGGCACAACCGTACCCAGTATCCTCTACTAGCAATCCATAAATAATAAAAGTATACGTATATGTATATATTCAGATATGTATGAATGAAATTTTAATATTGACGTAGCCTGTTGTCAGGTAGCAGTGACAACGATTTTCACTTGGAAATATAGATAGCAATATGTTTCCAAGTGAAAACAGCCCTAATACGGTATTGCTGCACCAATTAAATGCATCACTATCACAGTAATAAAAAAAAATTAGCGCATAGAGATGAGACAACTGTTTGGGTAGCCATCTATAATAAAAACAAACATAGTTTGTGAGATATTAATCACAACAGTTCATAGAACCCATAAGTTCTGATCGCTGATTTAAAATTAATAAAAAAAATATTGATGTAAGCTTGAATTGTTTGAAGCTACTGGCTACAAAATAATTAACAACACAATTTAGCAAATAAAACTCAAATTTTCAAATAAAACAAAAAAATACAGAAAAAACATATTCACATGTTTGCAAGTAAACATAGATAGGCCTTCTACGGTATTGCTGCTTCAGAATAAATCCATACTATAATAGATATTCTAACAAAATACATCAATTAGTACTGGGCCAACCTTTATCTTGCCTTATGAAAAAGGTACGTTAAGAAAAATCACACTAAAATCACAATCTGATGGCTTTGTAAAATTGAACGAGAAAAATGTTTACGTTTTAAGGATAGCTCATTCGGTGATATAAAGAAACTAACCGTATTTGCACTTTTAGCTCGCGTAATATACCTGGAATACAAGCCAGACGAGGAACCCCAACGAACTATATTTTTAGTTGGCAAGGGAGTGACTTACGACACTGGCGGAGCCGATGTCAAAGTCGGATCAGCAATGATAGGCATGTCGAGAGACAAAAGCGGAGCGGCAGTCGTCGCAGGATTCATGCATGTAATATTATTAAGTATTTGAAAAACTAAAACAGAGAAAAATGTTCTAGTACTTTGTTATAAATTTGGATCATCAGTATAAATATTTCTATCAGAACACTTTGTTGACCGATCACGAGTTAACTCGCGCTGTTACTATTAATATTTGTAAAAGCTGCTGTGTACTGTCACATAAATATGATTGTTATACTGCTTATCATATATAAATAAGAAGAAATTTTAATACATAAAATTTATTAATTTTTTTTACTTCCTCATCCAATTTTGAAATAATAGCCGGTAACATGAGATACATTTTCAGTAAAATTGCCGGTCAACAAAGTGTCATCTTCAACAACACTATGCAATGATTTACATCAACATAGTTAAACAAAAATATCACTTAAGTTAAACGTGAATCAAAATTTGCAATGATTTACATCAACATAGTTAAACGAAAATATCAGTTAAGTTAAACGTGAATCAGAATTTGAAATCGAAGATAAATGAAATGTAGGGAAAATACAGACAAAATAGTATAATATGGGCAAAATGACAGTGTCTTTAATATAGACCACTAAAATTAGATTGTATAATGCAACGAAAGCCATAATCACAATCTTGTCAGATGTTGAACGTCATTGCCACAGTCTTGTTGCAGTAATCAGTCCAAACCTTTATCGCGCATTCAAATGTTTATTTTGAGGTTGGTTTTGTCGCGTTTTTTAGGGCTTATTCATTGTTATTTGTAATTATTTCTAGTAAAATTAATGAACTTATGCCAGTACTAGTGACTTTGATCACTTTTATTGCAATAATTAAGAGTTTAAAGGAGTTTTGATTGTTTATTTGTGTTTGTTCATTTTCGGACAAAATGACATACTTATATAATGGACAAAATAAAATCTCGTGAGCACTACAGGGTAGTTTATTCGAGGCCAAGAAAAAAGAAAATTGAAGCTTGTCAAAAGTGATTGGCTTTTAACTACTACTTTAACTGAATTTACAAACAGACCAAAGTATCCATCAATAAGAAAATACATTTATTGCAAAATCTTTTTCTCCCGTTTTGAGCCCGACAAAGGTTGGTTACTATGTATAATATGATCTATGTTCCAAAGGGGTCCACTGAACTGCTTAAGAATTAGCATCTAAGTATATCTTCACCCTATATTACCCTATATGGATATGAAAAATTGGTTTTGGCAACTAGTTATATTTTCCTTTAAAATATGTTATTATAATTCCTACTTTATTGAAAAACTATATTACTTGTAGTCAATAAATCAAAGATGTAAATCTGGTTATAATGATTATAAATGATCAATAAAAAACAAAGGATATCTTATTTTGACCGTACTTCCCCAATAATTTGATTGAATATTCTTTTTCAATATGTAACAATAATAAATTCAGATGCAAACGTCCTAAATATTGAAGAAACATTATTCAAGTACAATTTTTATTAATACATATGGAAACTTGAACCTATCTAAATATTTCATTAATCATTTGAATAATATTGAGTGGTTATCAAGCTGGTTTAAAAATTGTTATAAATCTCAATAATCAAAAGATCTGTTCGCGCAAAAACAACTAAGTACAGTTTCTCCAAACAGTTTTCGAACCTTACATTTTTTGTTCTTTTATGCTTAGTTTTAATCAGTGGTGTGATTTTTTTTTACCGGAACACATATATATGTACACTATAAATACACTATAAATAATTATATATGCAGAGCTGATCCTGGGTAGACGCTCGTTGCTGTCCAAAAAGGAAATACCGAAATGACGTTGATTTTAATACTTAGTTTTATCAAAAAATTGAAGTATTGATTCAATGTCACCAATTTAGGAATGACATTTTTTAAATTTTCTTAGAAAATTATGTCCATTCTTGATGTCTATGACATCAACATAGAAACTAAAAAAAATTATAAAATATACTAAATGCAATGCAGACTACTTATTAATTTCTTAAAATTGCACGGAAGTTATGCAACCTGATACGGCCGAAGAAATTACGTGTGGTAGGAGCAATGGCGTGTGTCCGCAACAGCGTTGGACCAGAGATGTACGTTGCTGATGAAATAATTACATCGCGTTCCGGCATGAATGTTCGGATTATCAATACTGACGCCGAAGGACGAATGGCAATGGCAGATGTTCTTACAAAGGTTTAATATACATACAAAAACCAATGCGACTGATTTCTTACTGTAACTTATAATATTAAAGTGCCGAGAAGAAGCGGAAACCAGCCCTGATCCTCATTTGTACACCATTGCTACATTGACTGGACATGCCCAATTAACCGTCGGATTGGGTTACAGCATCGTTATTGATAATTCAGTGGCCGCGTACCACGATCACGCCCAAAAACTTCAGCTGGCAGGCGAGGCGGTTGGTAAGTATTATTCTATATACTAAAAAAATCCCAAAACATGGCAATGATTCTGTGATAGATCTAAAATATAAAATAACATTTTATTCGTCGATGTCGTTGATATCAATCTATAATACTCTATGTACTTTCGCATGTATTAATTTTTCAAAGTTTGTGCTATTGCTGTATAAACATACAAATATTTCAAACTCTCTTTTATCGATTTTATTCAATTCGTGACCCTTAATTGAATTACGACCACAAATTAACAAATAAAACATTTAGGTGCAAACATTTATTCTTTCAAAAATTTAGCCTATTTAATACCAATCAATCTATTAACAGGACAACCGTTCGAAATCAGCAAATTACGTAGAGAAGATTTTGCCGTAGCGGTATCAAGTGTAGGAAAAGGCGAAAACTTAATTCAATGTCTGGCTGGAGCGTCATCTCGACAAATGCGCGGACATCAAGTAAAGTGGAACATATTTTTTATATTTTTGTTATATATAAATTAGACGAAAACCTTTTAAAAGAAAAACATTATTTATATGCATATACATTATATATATATATATATATATATATATAACAAATGTATTCTGAGTGGATATTAATTTAGAAATATGAACAAACAACACTAATGTTGCACTAATTTATTAAATAATAATTTTACAAACTAACGTAAATTATCACTTGACCTTGAATAGAGAATTCAGAATCCGATGATCGTTGGTGGGGCAGTATAATGAACGACTTGTAACGGATAACACAATACTAATTTAGGTTCACATATTGTAGATTTTAAATTATAACACACTGATGATGAGTCAAACCTAGTCTCGAAACGTTTGTAAAATTATTATTTAATAAATTAGTGCAAAAAAGAGTGTTCTCATTTCTAAATTAATATATATATATATATATATATATTTAATGTGATATATCGATTGGTAGTTGCATAAGCTAATTATGTGCAATTCAGTATTCAATATAATATCAAACCTGTTCTTACATTTCACTATTTTTATTAAACAAAATATTTTTCATGAGAAGTAGAATCTGCGACAATTTGGTCTCAACAGTCTCAAACATTTAACATGGAGCGCGTTGATAAAATCATTTGTATTTTCTCTAGTATCCGGTGGCTTTTTTGACACTGGTATCTGGCCTGGACAAACACGGATTGACATCGGAGAAGCCAATATCGTATTCTCATTTGGACATCACACCAAGTGTACTCTGGCCACCTGAAGTAACGACAGGTTCACCAGTCGTAGCTTTGGCGCATCTTCATCTAATTCTTGAACAATCACAAATGAGCTGCTAAATCCAGCTCGAAGAGATATGAATTCCTATTCATATATTCGAGCGCGGCATTTGATGGTCCTATGTTTGCGTAATAGAAACAATAAAAAAAACAATCCCATAGTGATATTAATATAATGGTGATATTTGTCAAAAATAATTCATTCGTTTTAACTCACTTTGGTTTTTCCTTTCCGTTTGCATTGTACACACCTTGAGTAATATAATATGAAACACTTTTTGTAAAATGATAAATGTTGATTTGTCCGTAACAGAAATATTATTTTTGTAATTAAAGTATGTGATTTTAGTACGAATTTTTATTTTAGATTCACTAATGGTATGTTATCTAATTTTATAAACTCAAATAAATTGTCATTCATGTAAAAATTTCCAAATGTCTTATATCCAAATACTTTTTATCTTATTTCTTCTGAATTAGAAGGAATTGAATTTTGGATACCTGACCACAAAATACACATCGCGGGTTTCTCAAATACAGACCCAAGCACAATTTACTAGTGTAGAGCAACAAATTTTGAAAAAAAAATTATACAGATAACTGTGTATTATAATCTGCGAGTTTCAATAAGCTGGGCCTTTTTTAATATTACATGTTTATGAAGTATTTTTGTTAAACTTACACGAAGGACAGCATTTGACGCTTTAATCTATCTGCCATTAATCTATCCAGTCATTTAAGCTTAAATTAGGTAAGAATCTCGGAATTCGAGATACCCAGCTGTAAGTCTGTAAATACTTATACGAGGTCTGTTCAATAAGTACCCGGAATTTTCGTTTTTTCAAAAAAATATTTATTTATTCGTCTACATTAATGTGGTCCCCTTCAAAGTAGTCCCCCCCAGATATAATACACTTATGCCAGCGTTTTTTCCAATTTTCGAAGCACCCTTGATATTCACTTTTTGATATGTCCTTGAGCACTCTCAGCGATTTTCTTCAATCGAGGAAAACCGCCGTCCTTTCATGGGTCTCTTCAACTTTGGGAATAGGAAAAAGTCACACGGAGCCATATCTGGTAAATTTTTGCACTTTGCAACACTTTATTTCATTTTTTACGCAAAATTTAATACAAATTCTTTGACTTTTCAATTCTTCCATTGTAAAAATCGCCGAGCTCAGAAAAACACGTCGAACCTTAGCGACTACCACAGACAAAGTAAACAGTGAATATAGCTGAAAATTTCATCATACTTTAGGGGCATGTATACCAACACAATAAAAAAAAAAATTTGACAATCAGACACTCCAGACCCGCGAAATTTAATTATTAGTAATTCCGGGTACTTTTTGAACACACCTCGTATATTGACACCCTAAAGTAGTCTTACCCCCTACCATATGTAGGTTTTGAGACAGCTTTTAAATGTCAATATACAAGTGTTTACAGACTTACAGCTGGGTATCTCGAATTCCGAGATGAACTTACTATAATGTCTGGACTATTAGAAGAAATACTGAAGCGAATATTTTTTCATATAATAAAAAATTCTCATGAATGTTATATTATATATGTATTATATTCTTTTTTTAATTATAGTAAAATACAGTGCAAAGAACGATTTGGAATGAATAATTCGTACGATCAACATTAAAAAAGCAAGTTAATTAACGCGTATTGTCAATTAGGTTGCTTTTTTAAGATTGATATACTGACAAAGTTTCAGTAATAAAATATTTGCGTTATCCTAGTTCAATACGTATATACAAATTTATCAAATAATAAAATATATTTATATTAATAGGGACTAGTACCAACAATATTATTCAATCAGTCACTACGTATATATATATATATATATATTTTTGAATAGTCTTGAATTTGATGTTGATATATATGTTTAATTTGAGTTTAATAATCGGGCGTAACATCAATAAAAATAAATATTTTTATTGATGTTACGCCCGATTATTAAACTCAAATTAAACATATATATATATATATATATATATATATATATAAATTTAAATTTATTTATACATACTATGTATGTAGTATAAACGTGCGTATTCGCGCAAATATTCGGGATATATTTCGTAAAAAGGCAATGACTAAGGCATTACGACCTTTTCAAATTATTGCTACAGACGTTGTGTTAATTATATTATACTAAATATTAATGTCATGTAATATTAAAACGTAAATAAAAAATTATATTAACAAAAACATCAACATAGTGCATCACTAAAATGAATAATACTAAAACCTACTTAACTATAATTTTAGTTTACCATAACGTCATGAAAAGTAACAGTGACTAAAGTAATAAAGTAATAAAATAGAATAACAGTGACATCAATCTAAAAAAATATTCTTAACACAAAATTGTGTTGTACGTATTATCAATTGTACGTTAATATATAATAAACAATAACATATTTAACCCTTTCGCTACGTGAGTGTTTTCCGCAGAAAAGACACTGCTGTACGAGTCAGCGAGTCGCCAGACTGAGCGGACTAAGCTCAACATATTTCACTAATTTTCAATCATTTTTAACAAAAAAATGTATTTAAACATTAAAAATTATACTTCTAACGAACTAAAAACTACAATAACAAATTAGAACTCTCAATAATTTATATCAGAGCGATAAATATTGAAGCAAGGGTCGACACGTTGAATGTCGTCTATAGGCAACACCCGTACACACAGGTCACGTGGATGTCCTACATGGGACGCTCGTAGCGAAGAGGTTAAGAAACACACCACATTATGTTGTTACCTTATAAAAATCGCAATGCGAATGCAATTGCAACTCCCCATTCACTTAATGACTGTTTTCAACGACTTATATCCATTTGGAATCACAGTTAATTTCACATTTAACAACACTAGCCAATTTCAGCCACTATTTCTTCGTCATCTTGGACAAAAGCTGTAGTTTGGAAACAACAAACAGTGCAGCGACAGAAATCGGTTTGGATCATCTTTATGATCGAATCCATTTACGTTCACTACATTCCATTCGCCCTTGTTCCGTGAAAAACTAAATGATATCTGAAAAATTTAAACATAAAATAAGCAAAGATATCTACATAATATATATACATATACATATATACAGGCTATCCCAGGCTTGACGTCAAGCTGAAACGGGGTGATAGTATTGAATTTAACTGTCTTGAAAAAATTTAGAAAAAAATTCTCACGTTGTTTGAAAATTATGAGCTTTTAAGTGCAACTTAGAGCTTTGGTAAAGCTATGACCTCTTGTTCATTTAAACTTTTGAGCCGTAACCGCGAATAACATTGATGTGAATGATTTTTTTTAAACAAACTAAGATACACTGACTGAAGTGCTCTTAAAAATTGTGTAGTTTAGTAGTACAGGCCTAAGAAATTCACAAGTTCATAAAACAAGAAGTAACAATAAGACTAACCTGATCTTGCAGCGTTTCCGCACGGAGAAACTTCATTGATTCTAAATGTGAGTGAAATTGTTCTATAACAGTTAATTTCTTACCCAATATGTGTTCTAAAATCACAAATCAATTGCATTATATAACATTGCATAAAATAACGATAAGACAAAAAATATAAAACTAAAATGTGTACCAATTATATATCCTACAGTGACATCATCAGGCAGTCGAATGTTCTCTCCAATAGTTATTAACTTTCCGTCACTAAAAATAAAAACATTTTGAAGGCATAGTAAAATTTCAATAAAATACTAATTTAGTGCTTGTAATAAATGAGTAATAAAATATGACCAATGTCTTTCAAGTATTTGATAATACACTTACCTTGCTAAAGGAAGCATTTTCAGTGCAAGAGCTCTACTAATGCAGAATCCAGCTCCTCCCGTTGCAAACCAAAAAGATGCTTTGCGCTGAAAAGTTAAAAGCTCAATTAATTATAATAATTAAGTTCATTATTAGAAAAAATATGTAATAATTTGAAACTATATTAAAAATGAAAATATTCATTTGAGAAATTTATATCCAATATCCAAGTAAGTTTCTGGGCAAGCGCCAAAAATAGCAAATTTAGAGTCTTCATAAGATAACAAAGTGATAGAGAAAGTATGTATTGACACTGAAGCGTTTTTATGTATGACGTGAGAAACAAAACAGAGAAAATAAGGTAATAAGGATTTGTTTATAATTTACATACTCGTCGAACTACTGCACAGACCGGCAGCTCGACGACACCTTTAATATAAAAGCTTCATACAAAAGTTATTAAATTGCAAAAAACAAAGTTGATTGTTAAAAGCTAATTATCATCGTCGATAAATGTAGTGTAATTCAAATTAAGCGATAACATCAAAATTTAACTTTAACCCTTTCCACTCGGATGCCGCCGCTTCGGCGACAAATTGAATATAAACTTTGCAATGCGTGAGTGAAACGGGAGTGAGTCGTCATTAGTAACCAGTGAATGATAAGATTTAGACAATGAATTTGAATCAGTTTCATACAGTATTTTTACAAGACAAATTTCGTTACCTTGAAAAATCTCTCCTTCTGCATAATTTCTAAAGGTGCACGGATGCTTGGTCTTCCCAAGTACCAATCCATCTGGGGGCTGTAACCACTCAGCATTTGAACAAGTTTTGGAACGTTCACATAGTTGTCATCGTCAAAATGACAAAACCATCTAAAATTATACAGGTAACGATTATAATTCTTGATATACTAATATAACTACAAAAACAGATTATCTCAAAAATCTGTAGGAAAAATCTTTCAGAAGAAAAATTCATTAAAATAAATCAAGCTTGATATTTTAAAAATATACGAATCATAATCTTAAATAGAAAATTGAATCTGTAACAATGACCTTTAACGTACCTACAATTACAAATAAATAACATAAGTTAATATTAAATAAATCATACGATGTGAGAACTGTGTTCATACACAGGTAAGTTGTAGAGATTGTCTGATTCAGACGTAATTACTTTTACAAAGTTCAAGAAATAGTGCAGAGTTAACACTAGGTAATTATATTTTATTAAACTTTTATTAAATGTCGGAAATATCTAAACTGAACTACGCTTGCGTATGATACTTCGAACTGAATTTGATATTTGTAATTGATTTACTATTCTATTCACAGTTTATGCTTCACAAAAGAGTAATATCTTTCCTAAATTTTATACTTAAATTTGTTATTAAGAAATAACTTCATGTCACTTTTTTGGGTATCAAAATATGAATTTTCAAACCACGTCATAAAATTAACACGAAATACGATTGCAAATAAATAACGATTTGAGACGCGTTTTTTTTTACTATTGAAATTCAATTGTCTGAAAAACATCAGGGGTGACCAATTGAGGTTATGCCACTTTTTTTGATCAGCCATAATTTTGTTAATTTACGAGTTAGCTGGGAGAAAAGTAAATTTAATGATTACTTGAACATTTGTCTACGTGGTAATACGTAAAAATACTGAAATCTTTGTGAAAACTTTTTTTTCTTGTATTGAATTTTTCTTTCCCATTCTCGTATTTTGTCGTAGTTAAGTTACAATTTTTTTATCTGTTTGATCTTCACCCAAAAAGAACAAGACCCACAACTACATATCACAACCATACCCAACGAACACTTTTAAAAACAAATCATCGTCATGAGTGAACTGAATTATCTACCCAAAAACTAATAGCAGGTAATTAACTACTCATGTTCAACTTACATAACAAAGTGATCTATTTGTATCCAAGATCAGTTATAATAAAATAAAATAAATATATCAGAATCACTCTAGTCATTGATCCACTTTCAAAAAACCTATTCAAGTAATATATTGGTCAGTTTCTTTTAAGTCATTTGCTCTTGATAGATGTAGAAGAAAGGTAGCAAAACTTTTGTCCCTGATAACCTCAATATGTAACATATGCAATTTAGAAATATACGTACATATACATTTCTCAGACTGAGAGACCGAGTAAAGTTTATATTGTTTTTAATTGAAGGGATTTTTTGAGAAAAACTTTCAATTTGGATTGAAAATTACATATTCATAAAAAGAATAATTACATATAGTAAAAATCATTACATTACGTTGCACATTTATTTCAAAATTATTACCATATAATCCGTACATGAAACGCAAGGCGTATAAAATAATTTTAACTAGTGGTGCGTGGCATCGTGCGTTAAGGCAAATTGCTGGAACTTCCCGTATCGTAATTTAAAATTTTTAAGCTTTACAATTTTCTGAAGTTTTTGAAAAAATAAAGTTTTTGATGAAATTTGATTTGCATTATTTTTTTTTTAAACAATCGCACTGTGTTTTAGAAACGAAATATACAAACGCGTAGTCGACACGTTTCAGTCTAACAGTTAAACAATATAAAGATTGGTACGGAACCCATAGAAATGTAAACAAAATTTTCACTCATTATTAAAATCTCTACAAAATATTTGATAATATGATGCGCAGATGTATAATGATCATGTTTGTCCACCCAAGATTATTTTTTTACTATTTTTATTTGATCTCCAAAACCGCCAAAAATTAATCAGCACGACTCCCCATCAATAGAAATCGAAAGTTTTTTGTACATACTTCTATTTTTTTAAGGTATTCCAAAATATTCAGAAGACTTTAAAACGTAAAGATAAATGAATAATTTCATTTTCGATTTTTTGCGATTACTTTAAATAACCCTACGGAAAGTTAAAAATCATCGCATGATATTAAATAGCGATCAATACTAAATTGTATACAATATTTGGCTATTAAGCGCTTTACTTAATAGTACAAGATTTTTATCATTTTTCATTTGTATCTGCGTCGAAAAAATGTTTAAGCTAGATATGGCAAAGGAACGTTTATATTTTCCAAGTAAATCGTAATCGTAATCGTAGGTATGTGCGCTAATTTATTTAGAAAGTATCATGGTGCATTAAACGGGCAAAGAAACGCACGCAGGCTTACGAACGAGATTTCCGCAACATTCAGATTTTGTTCAGATATGTAGCGGACTAGCGGTTGCCAACCCGAGGCCGCGCCCCTGCCAGTAGATACTCTGATACTGGGTACGAGCCGGGTGCTGGGTGCTGGCGCAGAACCGTTATCGAGGTTAATAATTATTTATCAAGAGATGTTTGCAATTATAATACAGTCATATGTAAAAAATCCAATTATTAAAATAATTATATAGGCATACGAGTGTGTTCCGTACTGTTGAACTATACACTAAATAGATCACGTCGACATGTATTTGTAATCTAATAGCAAATATGACGAGAATATTGTAACGAGGTGAATTATTTGATTTAACATCGTAATACTTTAATTATGTATGCAGAAATATTCATTAATAATCTACTTATCAACAACGAAATTAACTACTAACATTATAAAAAGAAAGTGCTAAACAATTTTCAATATCATTAAACATTACTAATTTCTGTTAATTTATTTACCTCAGATCGTAAAAAATGCTAAGACAGAAATAGTATATTACATGGTTCTTATATATGATTTAATAGTTAATTTTGATGTTGAGATATATGAGTAAGTTCTTTTAGGGCGATACATAAAAAAGCTAAGATTTTTAAATTAATCCCTAACTTCAAACGTTTCGGCATACAATTTGATGTCATCATCAAATATAAGCTTCGGTCATCATAGCTATTACATGGTTCTTTACAAAAATACTTAAGCTTTCTTTACATTTTTATGAAACAAAACTCTCATTATTTCACCTATTTACATAAAATGAAACAATTCATGATTATTGACAAGTTAATTGTGCAAACTTTATATCCACTGATGATGACATCAAATTGTATGTCGAAACTTCTGAAATTAAAGAGGAATTTATAAATCTTAGTTTTTTTTATGTATCGCCCTAAATAATATCTCAACATCAAAATTAACTACAGAATCGGTACGTTTGGGACCTCCGGGACCTAGATGCCGGACTATCAAAAATTCCAAACTATCAGATCAGATAATTACTTAGGTTAATAATTAAAATACAAAAACAGTACACAGTGGTGAAAAACTGTCTTCACAGGCAGCAGCCATTACCACATGGCAATACTGTCAATCTGTCGTTTTTCTTCAAAAACTTTGCTGCTTTTTCTTCTACAATTATTAATTAAAATTTAAATTATTATCAGCCATAAATTCCTCAAACTTTGTGTTTATCTGCAGCGGTTTGGATTTTTGAAATTATTTTATCAAAAGTTGATTGATTTTTATGTCAAATCTTGAAGTTTCTAAGCCAACCGTCAAAATATTTACATACTTCAGCAACTCCTAAATCATTTTTCTCTTAGCCAAATTTATTTTGCCTTTTTAACGATCGATTGAACAATACATTATCTAGCTGTTCCAGTTTTAATAATAATGTAATATTTGTCTACAATGAGTTCATCATTTCGTTTTAACTTCATAAATCGTTGATATATATTGAACTTAATCATTAAAACATTTCTATTCTCGCCCAAATTGCTATAAAAACTTCAGAATAGATTTCGAGCCTTTATTTGCTATAAAACACACAGTTGTAGAAAACTGAAACTTTCCGAAATGATGCCGGACTATTGAGCATTCCGGACTCTTAAGTGGACTTTTGCTGTATAAATTATTTTATATATATTATCTATATGTTTTTTCTGAATAAGTTTTTACTAAATTATTAAATTAAAAGCTTTTTTTTCTTCTCAAACAATTATTTAACTTTTTATTTGTAAAGATTTTATACGTTACAGTATATTTGAATACAACTTATACATAACTAATTATTTTTTCATTCAATTACAATCTTCATAATGTTAGTTATGTCATTCAATCACCTTTACATATATTTTTTATGATTATATATTATCCAAATCTCCTTTTTCCGAAAAAAATTGTTTTATACATTTATACACTATTTCGATAATCATTAGAAAATTGAAAGAATAAACTCTTTACATTTGAATTATTCAAGTCTTTATGTGCACTACTACACTAAACATGAAAAATTTAAGGTATTATCAATTCAGTGAATGCACAAATTGATTTTTAGTGAGTAATTTATTAGAAGAAAATGTAACATCCCCTAACAATAAAGTAATTATGAAATATAATATCATAAAAAATAAAATATATAGAAGTAATTCAGTGGCAGCATCAACAAACATTATTTAAAATTATGAACATTGTAAATAAATTTTAGAAAATTAATATTTTTATATAAGTGTTATTTAAAATATATTATTTGGATATCTGGGAAAGGATATGAAAATTGAAGTAAACTTTACCCGAATGCCCCACAATCGTTTTACTTTGTCTTTTGTCAAATAAGAAAAAGAGTTTTCAATAAGAACTTCTACAAAATTGTTTTGGTTGTAAAAGGCCATAAGAATTTCAAAATATATATAACACTGTGTAATTTAGTTAACAGGTGTGGCAAGGCCTATTGGTTGCCAATCGCTGCCCGGTTTATGTATGTAGTCGCCATTGCACTCACATATATAAGATTGACGGCGGTTAAATATATATCGAGATCTAGTTAGTTAATACCAAAGGATAGGCAGATATACGCATGATATACTTAATAACAATTCAAATAACCTGTTTGCTGCCGTGGAAACCAGTTTAGCGTACATAGCTCTATTCTAGATTAAATGCTGATTTATATTTTTGGTATACCGTAAAAGCTGAAATTTATCTAGAGTTTCATTTTAACATAGGAACGGAGATATGCAATATCGGCATTGAGATCTTGCAAACTATTTCATATAATTGATTGCAATCTTGCAAATAAATCTGCAACTAAAATTTCATAAGATATTACGCATCGCTTTTTAAAAATTCTGGTGTAAGTGGCATAGTACAATATTGCCATAAGTAAGGTAGAACGAACGTCCTGATAGATGAAACGACTTGAGTATTGAAATAGTTTAAATTTTTAACATTACTATAATTTTTTGACTTATTCAGGAAGTAATTAATTGACCAACCTTTAACTAAAATCAAACAATACAATTATGAAATGATAAAAACAGGATAAGATTTTATGAAAATGCAAATACAAAATTATGTCTTGAACCGTAAGTCATAAAAAAACAATATTGAATGTTTTTACAAATTAATGAAAACAAGCCGGTTGATTATTGATTTAGTGCAAACATATTAAGTGACTATAATATACACAAACCATCTCATAACGTAATTTAGTTCATTATATTAGTTCAGTTCTCGATATTTTTTATTTCATTATATATATCTCCCTTCCGCCTTTTTGTATTTTAAACCAAGAGCAAACAAGCGGAAGGGAGATATTTGGCAACCTAATATTATAAATTAATTTCAGTTATAACAAACTGAGAATATAATTATAGCATCATAAAAAGTTCATCAATTTACATCATACTTCGTTACTTCAGCTAATTTGGCCATTTCTTTTTTTCCTTCCGACAGTGAACAGAACTATGTACGAGTACATATTTTTGAGCTGTGTTTTCTAATTTACATTTCTATTTTTTTCAAGAGGGCAAGCCAATGGTGTACCGCTCTTCTATGCTATTACTATGTATGTACTACATATTAGGTATGAGTATTTATTAATGTTGCCTTGTATGTGATGCACTAATGTCCACGGAAGACAATTTAAGGCACTTAAAATTATATTTGAGAAATATACCCTCAAGTGGAAATTTGATATCATACTGCTTGATATCGCGCTTAACCGAGGTTGGGAACGAAGTCACGTGCTTATCGGTTACGACACAGCTCAATAACTTTATGAAATTAGAAAAATAAATTAATGTGCATGGTAAAAAGCAAAAACTCAGACGAATAAATGTCGTTTTAATGAACATTCCTTTTGTTGAAGCAAAATGATTTGCAAGTTTTCCAATTGGATTTATAGATTTACCCTACATGAACCTATACTATACTACATGTAGTAGAAGGTCGATGATTTCAATTCATCAGGAATATTTAAACGTAATAAAATGTCAAATAAAAAAAAATTAAACGTAATATGTATCTCAGCATACTTCACCGGTAACAATTGAAATTGTAATTTTAGATCCTCAATTATATTATAATAATTATTTCAACACTACTTTTTGTGAAATTAGAAGAATTAGAAATTCTGTGAAATGTAAGATTGGCGAACCGGCAACCAAACGACTAAACAATAGTAATAATAGAAATTATGTTAAAATAATAATTATATGAATATAAAATTTTTGAACTTACCGTTTACCACTGTCCAAAAAAGCATCAAACTCAACAGCCATTTTACAGCAAAGTGCTCTTCTACTATGAGAGAACGAGCAATTCGTATTAATCATATGACCATCTGAAAATAAATTGCATTATAAAATTATATATATATATATATATATATATATATATATATATATATATATATAATGTATATATAAGGTATGTCTTAAAATTCGGTGCAACTTTCATTGGCATTTGCTTGAACGTGATATTTTAATTGGTACAGGCTTATATGCATGAATTTCATTATAAATTATGTTTATATCCCAGCATATATATATATATATATATATATATATATATATATATTAAAATCATTTTATTAAAAACTTCAACAGTTGAATAACAATTCATCGCGGTAAATTGTAATTTCTACATTCTTATAAAGAATATAGACAACGTAATTATGTAAAACGATAAAACTACATCTTGCGCTTCAAACATAACTAAGATGACTATTATACTAAATAATAATTAAACGTAAGTCAAGTTACTTCATCTTATGAATAACGCATTTGTACAAGTTCGTGATAAAAAAAAGTATAATACCTTTAACAAAGCTCATTTTCATAGTATCGCCCTAATATGCCTTAGATATCAACATATTCAGAGATAGATAAATATTGATAAAAAAAAACAAATCAACAAACATATTTCATGCTAAATTTAAATTTTGCAATTTTTAATTTAATTTGCCAAGTCATAACTCAAATGAATACTCAAACAGTAAAATATGCAACGAATAAATACCATACATCTCAAAACTTACCAGTCAGCTTTTGATATACAGGATCTTCAACATCAGTGAAAAACCAAGTCTGAAATAAAAATTAATTATTGTAATTATTTTTCTATATATTTTAAAATACAAAAAATCATAAAAATAATTATCCATTTTGGGGAAAAAATTATTCGAAATCAGTAATCAATAAAATAAAATAACTAATGCACCAGTAGTATGAATTTTCAATCCGATATATGATGAAAATTGTTTGTTAGTCAAAATCAAATAATCAAATAATCAAATAATCAAATAATCAAATAATCAAATCAAAATAATAATAATTATTTTATTATTACATTACTTAATGTCAATCGCTGAATTAACGGTAATCTTTGACAATCCATAATAAAATCCATAGTAAAATTGAATTAACTTCCCGAAGAAGAACCTAATGATTTCAGTGGAAAATCCGACATTTCGAATCATTCTGAATCTGAATCGTTTAGGACGGAAAAATTGGAAAAGGTATGTATGTATGTGAGCCAAAATTTGATCTTTGGCCGACGATTTCTCAAAAAGTCTGAAAGCACCAAATTCAAAAATTTAGAAGCCATTTGATAAAAAACAGATAAGGACTCGAGTTGTTGAAGTTGAAATCATCGGACGGGCCGTTACCTTAAAGTTATCAGAAAACGTAAAAAACTCCAAAACTGTTTTTAACCAGAAGAAATCCAGAACCAATTTTGAAAAATCAACAACTATTAGATATGAAGCGAATAATGAAACGGTGTTTGTGAAATTATTATGTTCCAACATTAGTCGATATCTTTCGTTTTTAAAAATAAATATTATTTATTGATAAGGTACGAGTGCCATAACTGACTTAAGTGATAGAAACCCTGAACCTTAGGAGGCGTCCATTAATCACGTGATCGATTTTTCAAGGATTTTTGGACCCCGCCCTCCCCTTGGTCATTCGTGGTGATATTCAAAATTAAGACCCCCCCCCCCACCCCTACCAAACATCACGTGGACTTTTATTTACAAGAAAAAAATGTAAACTTTTTGTTTTTTTTAAAAAAATTCAGGTAAAAAATAAATACACGTGATATTTTACTATACCCTTCCTCCCCCACGTGATATTTCGTGATTTTTTGTCAAACCCCCCCTCACCAAAAAAACCTCACGTGACGCCCCCTTAGGTGTTTAGTATTTCCTAGGTTCTAAACAACGGTACAGACTTGCTATTAATGTCCAAAGATAAATTTGATTAAAGGCTGAATTTTTTATCAATCACTCAGTTGGAAATCGTGGTCAGTTTTAGGCAAAAATCTGTCGGACCCTTTCTTTCTAATTAATTATTTTCTGAAAATTTTAATCAGACTTTGTATATTATTAGTCTAATTGTAAGAAAACACCATAAAAATGATAGGCCTACGATAAAGTGGTTTAATAAAAAAAAATCATTAAAGTTTAGAACAATGGTCCGAGACTTTAAAAAATACACCGTGCATGTATTTGTCACAATTTGTCGAAAGTAAGTAGCAATTCCATTTACATGCAATAATTACCCACAGTACGATATCCTAAAGCAACTCGATGTACTTATAAACCACTCATAATTATTAATTTAATTTATTATTGATTAAGACATGTTGATTTAATATTGATATGCAATTTCTTATTAATGCAATTATTGCAAGTAATCGACCTATATTTACATGTCGAGAAATTCAAGCACTTTGCCTTAAGGCAATGCTACTTATTACTAATTTAGTATTTCTTTGATATTTCACAAATATTTTTGGAAACTACCTATCTTATAAATAATAAATAAATAGTTCAAAAATATCATTACCTGTTTCTTAGCTATTTGAAACCATGTTTTGAGTATAGCTCTAAGACGTGATTCGTGATAATTCTTGGTTGTTTTGACACTGATGAAGATATCATTCAGAATTTCGTTAAATAAGGGTGGTGCACTGAAGGTGCGAGCCCTTAAAGTTTGACTGGTAGGGACCGCACTGGAAGCCACAGGTGTACTGAATAATATTTCTTCGTTGGAAAAAGCCAGGAGCGTCAGAGCACGAGAATCCTGCCAACCTGACACGTTCTGGGGAATAACCAGAAACATAATATGAAAGATAATTCTCCCACATGAGCGACAATACATTGCTACTGTAATTCATATCTTATTGAATATATATATATATATATATATATATATATATATATATATATATATATTAGTGTGGTCTTTAATATGGACATTTTTGAACTTTCTTGCTCCCAAGGGCTCAAATGGTTCCAAATTGATAAACAATTCTCTGAAACTTCTAGCTATTAATATTGTCTTCTAGATTGAGTGCAAATCAAAGTTTTGTATGGAAATAGCATGAAAAAATTTTCTAGAATTTTGCAGAGCGTCGAATTTTCAATAAAAAAATGACACGAATTTTCACTTTTAATTCATTTGTCGCTAAGTTATACCTAAAAAAATGTTAATTTTCAAAAAAAAATCTATTTTATTTCCATACAAAGTTTGATTGAATATATATGTGTGTTTGTGTCTTATTATATTACATTTTAACAGTTCTTAGTACCACTTTATATCAAAACTGCTACGTAACATAGACTTGCCATAACATTAGTCTATTTAATGGCAAAATTGGCCTGTTAGTTTGATTCTCATGCTTTTGAGATATATCAATAATTTTGCGTTACACTATGTCCGAGCGATTTGGCCTTACAAGCAAATGGTTCCAGGTTCCACAGCTCAGGCAGCTTCATATCGAGCGGATTTCTTCCAGCTGCTTCCAAGTGAAAAAATAAATTTATCAAATAACCGTTGAGTTTAGATAGCTTACTAAATACCGACGTTAATAAGTCAACACAAAAAGCTTACTATTGAGTGGATTGTTGTTGATAATAATAATGATATTATAATAATTTATACGAGATTGAAGGTTGAAAAATTTTATTCGTCTAATATATGATTAGGGTACGGGAATTTCCAGCAATTTGCCTTAAGTCACCATGGCAATAACTGTTTTTTGATGTCATACACCACTAGTTTTAACTGTATGTCGTAATGATCAAAAGCGCTTTTTTCGAAAATATCTTTGAGAATATCGATGTAACTACTGCTTGATATCAGGTCGCACGCAACGCGGGATTGAACTTAGTGTATTTTCATAATAATATATCAAATATAAATAATATAAACTACTAAAACAAAATGATTAATTGTTTAAAATTCCATCACCGTGTTTTTAATTTCAATTGTTTAAAATTCCATTCCGAGTTGCATGGCGTTGCATGGTGGAACTATTAAACGCAATGCCTTGTGAGGGCAGGATGGTGAGTTAGAACGCTCTGGATTACCTGATATCATGCAGTAGTGATGGCAATTTTCACTTGAAAATATAGATCAAAAATACGTTTCTAATCAAAAATTACCCATTTCGGGCATTGCGATGTGAAAAGTCAATAGGAAATCTTTCTCGCTATTCTTCATTGAACCGAGTTGGAGTTTAACTCGGCTCACGAACCTGCCCTAGGGCAGCACTACCATTTTATTATTTTAAATTTTGTGTACCATCTGTTCAGATGTTAGCCATCACCGTGTAGTTAGTTAAGCTTCTGTAAATCTACTGACATTAACTTGTATTCTTATATTACGAATAATTGTATACCAATGACATAAGCAATAAAACTAAAAATATTTTTGGCTGTACATGCATTTTTATATGCGTGGTACATATGCACACATACTACTAGTTTTCCATGCTAGAATTATCTAACAATTAGTTAGTTAATATTTCGTTAGTTATCTTCCAATTGGCAGTCATACAGTTAGTACGACAAGTGTCTCTTGTTGCATGATTGTTCTATAAGTGTTTTTAATATATCTTAATCTAACTACATAAGCACCTCGTACAACGAGTGTGTCGAGCCGCTTCAAATATTATTAACGTTGATTTGCAACCGTCGAGAATAATCAAATAAACAAAACATTGTTCGTCGGACGTGCGATTTATGCATATACGCTTGTTTATATTTATTTATTTAAGCGAGCTGTGGTCAATGTGTAATCCATCACATACACACATGTATATATATACATATATACATGTGTGTGTAAAATACTATTAACCATAATAATAATTGTAGCATTAGCAACGGTTTCTTGGCCAAATAACACAAGCACGTTGAGCTAACTTAAATTCCAACTGAGTTCAAAAGTTAAAGAGAGAATAATCGATCCCATTTCATACAACAATTCACGATTGTTACAATATACTTATATATTAGGTCTACCAAAAAAGTTAATTTGAAAATTATATCGTTTAAACTGCCATTGAGTACAAAATTGGTTTGGCCACTAAAATCTTTATTTTTGAACGAACTTTGAATTTCATAAAATTCTAACAAGGAGAATCTCAGGTTTACTCTTATGTGATTTTGATGAAATTTCGCGTGCTGATGGAGTTGATAGTCGAACCGGTCATCTTATATTATAGACCTATAAGAAGCGGTTCAATTATAAAAATTATAAAGTTTTGAAAAATTATAATTTTCAAAAATTTCTGTCTGTTTGTAGAATAAAACAACATAATTTTTTCCCTTCGCCAATTAACTATTGCTAATATAATTAATGATCACTTGACAGCGTGAAGGCAATTTGTTTATCCCATTTTTGAAAAATCATTTATTATAGATGCGAAAAATTTAACCAGTCTAGCACTGACATCTTTATTTTTTTAATTTTATGTCCGTCTCACAATATTTCAAAGACAAATGATAATTAGAAGTTGTATGTAATCCATTTTTTATCCCCAGATATCATCCGGATCAAAAAATCGCAGTTTTCATCGTTGAGTTGTGGGGCCGAGATCAGGAATTTCTGCACCTTGGTATGTTAAAAACCAAATAATACATAACGATCTGAGATCAATACTACCCAGGAGGTAGTAAAAAACAGAAGAGGAAGTCATCACAACAATAATATCAACCACAATAACCCTACATTGATGATTCTTGTTTTAGAACCATCAGACATTAAAAGATTGAAGATGAAGCATTAAAATGAAGTAGCCCATATAATGCATTAAAATGAAGTAGCCCATTGGGGTGATCTCCATCATGTTATGTAAGTAGAACTCCAGTACTATAATTGGAGTTGTAATAACGAGAACAGCTTATAGATTTTTTTTCTGATTGCAATTTAATTATTGTTAGAAAAAAAGATGTCTATATGGCAACTTGATCATCAAAATTTATCTAACTTTTTCATGTGGCTCGCATCGTGAGTAGATTCAAACAAAACCTATCTTCCTAATATGGTCAAAAATGATTTGTTAAGGTGAATTAAGACTTTCGCGTTCTCCTATGTTTTCAGAAAAGGATCTTTCTCCAACTGTACCTCAAGAGCATTATCGTAGATTGAAGATTCTCGCCCGGAACAGAAAGAACGAAATTATCTGTCTCAAATGTTTCGTGCCATCTTATGTCTGTTCTATCAAAAACTGTACCTTCACCAAACACTTTCAATATTTTTTAGAATTTTTAACTAAAAATATGTACTTGAAATATTAGAAGTAACCAAGTTGAAAAAAATAAGAGTAAATCCTAAGATCATTTAACAATTCAAGTATAATACGAAAAATAATACACTGAATTTTTTCAAATTATATATTCAACAGCAATCAGAACTTAACGAATCTTATGAGCTGTTGTGCTGAGTTTAATGACGAGACTTTATAGATAGCAACCCAAACGGTTGTCTTATCTCCATTTGATGAACTTTATTATCTGAAACTTTTAATTCAAATCTTTTAGCTCTAACTACTAATCCATAGATGATCTGGACGCGATTTAAGCTAAATAGTTTATTTCTTAATATTAAATTCAAAATTGTGTCAAAGAAGCGATGTATCAAGTTTTTTTTTTATATAATATGATTGTATGAAGTTACGATCATACATATACGTGAGCAAATTATATTGATATAACGTATTCATATTGAATTACGATGCATTTGATAAAATATGTTAAATCGCAATCTTATCAAAGTGTTTAATAAATATTGATTTTGAATATTTAGATTATATATATATATATTTTGAATGGCTACAATGATAGCAAGCTTTACGTAAAATATCAATGGCTCAATTTTGATCACTAAGAAATTGCTTACTCGGTAAGCAAAATAAATATAACCAAAAATTCAGTTATGGTTTGTGCTAATTTTATGAATAAAGTATGCGTCATTTGATACAATTAACTGTGTAGTTTGAGTCCTAAAATAATACAACACGTAACGAGTTCTGAATTAATTAAAACGTAATTTTCGAATTATGCACACATACAAACACACATGCTTTGGACAACGGCATTTGTAATCTTTGTGACAGATTATTTTTACCATTTATAATAAAATATGTTTTTCAATTAGTCATTTGTAAAATGTGTTATTTTTTGTTACCCTCATGATGATACAAATTTAGAGACTGATTTAGTCTCTAAACGTTTGTAGCTTACTTTATATATCATTTTTCGTTCCAAAATATATGCAATTAGTTAATGATTAAAAATATTTATTGCAATATTTAACTTTATAGTTAACATATAAATATAACAAAAATAAATTTAAAAAATTTAAAAATACATTATACGCTGACGGTATTTGAACCCGATCATTATTAACATTATTAAGAGATTAAAAAGTGGTAGTATCTGGCATAAACCGAACGAGTTACCGGGAAATATTGATTACTAAAATCAATTTTTCAGAACTTTAATTTTTATAATTAAACCGCTAAATAGAGTCTATAATATAAGATGATCGGTTTGACTCTCCCAGAAGAGTTAACCTGAGGTTCTCCTTGTTAGAACTTTATGAAATCCAAAGTTAATTCAAAAATAAAGATTTTAGTGGCCAAACCAATTTTGTACTCAATGGCAGTTTAAACGATATCGTTTTCAAATTAACACCTCACTAAAGCAAAATAAATTGTAAGCAAAATGAAAAATAATGATCTTTTTTTCAAAAACTAATGCTTTCACTTTAAATATAACATAATAAATTTTGATGAGGGGGTGAACCGATTTTTAAAAAATCGTAATTGATATTTTTCGACTTAAAAAAAAACACAAAATAGGTTTTAGTTTGGTTTGCAATTTATGACGCAAATTTTATTACAAGTTAATCTCATCAAAAGTTAAGTTGTTTCGATCACAATACTATGCAGGTGGATAGTGTAAAAACTATAAATGCAGCGAACGATATTGATTGCCTTTAATATTACGATTTAAAGCCTTAAAAGGCTAAGGTATATGTGAAATTTACTCTTCACTATGTGAAGTTTTATCAATTATATGACTTTGAAACTGCTAGAATTTTCTCTCACTAGTCAAACCAATATAAACATTATGCAAATATCACAAAATATATTTATAAAAAATATTAGAGGCGCCTAAGTATGCCCTAAACTGGCTGATCTATCAGGACTCCAATATGGTAATAAAGGTAATCAGAAGAAATGTAATATAAGTACAAAACTAGACTTGAGCATCATCCAACAGGCAAAAGACTTGTCCTCAAACATCCTCAAAAGACTCGAAAGAACAAACCCTTCAGATTTAGCAAATTAACATGTAATGTAGACTTATTGTTGTGCCAATTTGCAGAAAATGATAATCAGAATAAATAAAAAGACATACGTACACATTTACAGAAAATATATTTATAAAAATCAGGCAGAATATATGTTAACGCCTCACTCCCAACCCTGGTATAATTATTATATTTTATTATCTTCATGCAGGATAGCGATAATAAACCCTCATCCCTCCAGCATCTTGCCGGATCACGGACTTCTTAAACACTTTGAATCTATCTTAAAAACATACTTTTTTGGCCATTCAAAACAGAATGGTCAATTTTTACTAAACAATATATATAATTTAAAGTGATGGTTGTAATGGTCGAATTGAAACTGCCTATTCACTGCTCCTTGCTCCTCTGTGGCGGAAACATTGTTGCCAATAGGGCATCGCAGTGTTACCAATCTTTTGGTTTTACCACATGTTGCCCTACAATATTGGACGATTCCGAGAGATGGCATAACATATATATATTTACGTTTCAAAAGTTTCTGAATATTTTGGCATACTTTAGAAAAAAATGATTTATGTGTGTGTGTGTGTGTGTGTGTGTGGATACAATTTTTTGTCGACGATTTCGGAAACACCGATCAACCGATTTAAATAATTCAAAAACATTCGATTCGTATTGATAAGGAGATGTCCTGATTAGTTTTTGGCGAAGGCCAAAGTGCCAAAAACGGTAACTCAGT